ACCTTTCCCCATGGAGTCAAATACCAGTGACGTGGAGCTTGACACCAAGTTGGTCGTACTGTTCTGTGTTCTGGGGATGACAACGGATGTCCGATAGGTGGTATGGCTCTGCACTTTAGCGGATTTCGGACCGTTCTGTTGGATAAACGACGAAGTGGAAGAAACTGTTTCCACATGAACGGATGAAGTCTTTAGAATCTGAGAGGGGCCGTATCCTGTCGTGGTCGACCTGAACGCTGACGGTCTTTAGCGTCATTAGTTTGCTGGTGTTTACCAGGAGAGATTAACCATTCTTAAATTTGTTGTTTTCCTGTGTATTAACAAACAAAAGTCTTATCGAGTAACACAATATCGCAAAGTGTGCACACTGCGTTTGAGGCTTATACCTCTGTTAACACTGAATAATATTCACTGCAATGAATCCACTATAATCAGCCAGTTGGGCCGCTGGCGGACATGGCCGCTTTTGTTTTCGGTTTATGCAAATATGAACGCAAATCGACTTAGAATCAATTTATCGAAAAATGTTTATTGAAATGATTTTAGTCTTATTATCCTGTTTATTTACAATTCTAAATGACCTGTTGTGTATATTCTGACATACCGATCTGACAGTGCACATACTCGGTGATTTACTTAGATCAATTATAAAGAGTCCGTAGAAACAACCAGTATGGCTGTCAGGCATATCTACTTGTTATCAGCACTCATATATTATGAAATGGTATAACTGCCTATTGTTGGAACGCGTCAGCTATGATACGAAACAAATGGGCAACCTCTGAAGGGTTCTTGTTATGGACTTTCATGCTGTAGTATATAATGGATCCTACATCGATAATCAGACCAACTCCAACCAAGGCTGCACCGCCAATTTTGATCACCCTGGCGGCAGAGTTAAATGTATTAAAAGCCTCTGCGCCAAATGATGACGCTTCCGTAAGCATACCTAGTGTCCATCGAGCGACATTTACACCTGCGTCAGTTCTACCCTTGTCAAGTCCTCGCATCTGAAGTGCTTCCTGAACACGCAGAGCTGTTGCAACTATCTTGTGACCTTTGGCACATGTTTCACACATGTCACCGCCGCTACCTATCCCAATGAAGCGGACAGTGTCTGACGGTATAGACGCATCAGTGAGAACATCACGCATTCTCTGTCTTTCCTCGTCAGATGACAGACCAGCACAAAAGTATTCCAACACGGGTGCAAATTCTGTTATTGCCTCCGTATAAGACAACACAGCTTCGTTGGCTGCTTTGACCTTCTTGTTTTTGATGACTCTCTCTGCCAACATCGTTGCAATGGAGCCTGCTGCGCTTGCAGCCGATACCGTCGCACCCACGACTGTCAGTACAAGCGAAGCTCCAAAGGTGACGAAGGCGAGGCCGAAGCTGGCGGCGGCCACAGCTGCTCCCACCGCCGACAGTCCTACCTTAGCTTTGTTCATATCCCCCTGCTGTTTGTCGAGCTCATCTGCTAATTCATTCAGCCTCCGTGCTACATTTACCTGACGGTCATAGCAGCGTCTGGTGATGGTCGTCAGGCTGCACAGCCTGTCTCCACACTGAAGGATGGAGTCTGGAATACAGATTGCATAACTCATCTTAGAGGACGTCCACTACTCATACAAATGTTCGCATATTTTTAAGGATATGTGTTTTTTGCCATTGACGATAGATGATATCGGTATATATGTTTGGATATTAAAGTTTCCTACAGATAACTTATGGGGAAGGGGGTGTGCCACATAAAACTATATCTTGTGTGGTGAAGTAATGGATTCAAATATGTCCAAGGGATTGATATATCATTGATACAACATATTGTTCTCATTATCAGTGACATTTCATACATTTAAGCATGGGAATCATCCTTCTTCAAGTCGGATAATCTTGGCAGCTTCAGCTTGTCTACCCGCAAGCGTACTTGAAGCTATGAAACACAATACATATGTGATTCCTACTTTATTTGTAATCCGGGAAGTGTTCAGATGGCTGACTCGGTGTGAGTGTGGAGGAGTTCACCTGTAGGCTATTTGGCTAACACTGAACATACGTTACCGATAAGTGAATATTCGACATGGGTCATATAGTATAGCCCTGCTACACCAGACCATCTTGTGTTTTCCATGTACACGGCATAAAGCACAAACATACATTCGGATAAGTCTATTGCTTATATTACGGGTACCATAACATTCTCTCGCTGAGTAGGTTCACTGGATCTTAAAATGACGATTTGAAACGACTTGCACGAAAATATATTCCCGACTCGTAGATTTGACAATTTACACGCGAAATGTTCAACACAATACTTACTTTCATCTGTTGTTTTCCGTCTTCCCTGCTTTGACCCAGACGAGTTTCCCATGGTGATCTGTAGATATACCAGTCACATATAAAACCAAGCCTTCCCTTTCGAATGAATGCCTCGAGGCGGAACGCTGGTATTCTTGGGAGCAGTTCAAGCTGTGATCACCGCCTTAGATATCAAGGCTGTTTAAACCAATCAGTCTTGCGACATTCGAAAGGCCACTGTGCGGGGCACTTTGACACCCCTTGATCTGAGGCTTGGCTGATCTGAGGCTATAACTGTCGTGAAACAGCTTTCTTTGTCAGTCGTAGAAAGCAGATTTATTGCGCTTTAAAGGGGGTCAGACACAGTTGTATGTAGATTGTGATACCTTGCACATAATTTTGGATCGTCAAATCCAATTACTATCGGAAAAGGTAATCAGGTACACAAATGTGTGTGCATAAAATATACTGACTCAATGTTGGCTATTCTGAAGAGCTATAAAAGCTGGGCCCTTATTCTCGAAACGTTCGTAGCCCTAAGAATTCGTAACTTTGATCGTAGCCAATGTGTTAAGAATGGGCTTAAGAAGTTCGTAGGGCTACGAACGTTTCTAGAATAGCTAGCCTGATTCGTAAGTGAGGGTTATTGTGTGTGTGTATCGCTAACTCAATGGTTGTGTGTTAACGCATGCTTACAGTGGCGGCCTGATTTTATGTTGTTTGATTTCACAATACGCTGTGACCTTAATTATCTCTACCGCAGAACAAAGATCTTAAGACATCCCACTACGCGTAACGCCAGAACGACCTTCACCCGACAAACTGAAACGTCACGTGAATGTGTGTTCCAGTCATGCTCCCTGGAGAATGTTGACACGTGGTCTTATAAACGGAAAGTACGAGCTACCGCTGGAATAAACATCTGCAACGAAGGAAACTTTCCATAGCCCGAATAAAGTACTGTCATTAATTAGATATTCCAAATTTTCATTTATTTCTATTTTTCAAAGGGTGGTCTGGATTAGAAGTAATTGTTTGCAGCATTAAAACTCGAGAAATGAACTCTAGTATTGGCTAATGTGATCTTTATTCTTCATCTCTGCGTTCGTTTATCAAAGTTAGCAAAACAGCACTCTGACGTGAACCGTAATGGAATGTCCTCAGACCTGTGTTTATAACTAACATAGATTGATACACAAAGCAGCTACAACATGTCTTTCCCTCGACAATGCTGTTTCCTTGACTTGGCACACAGGAAGAAAGCACCTCTGGCATACTATTCGACTCTGACAATTCCTGTAATGCCAATGTTTTCAGTGTATCGGGCTCGTCCGTAACGCTCCCCGTTACTACCCGAATGAGAGCTGATGTTCAGCAACCCTTGTTTATGCTATGAGGATAATAATGGAACTGGTTATTCAGGATCGCTGGATGAACATCGTATAACAACTACATAGATCGAGGCTCATGTTGTCAGTCACTGGATTGTCTAGTCCAGATTCGATTATTGACATGCCGCTGTAACAATGTTAGGCTGGAATGTTGCTCAGCGTGGTGGCTACACAACAACTTAATACAAACTCTAACGTGACCATCAACTCTGCATTTCCCCCGTTTCCGCTGAACTAAACCCATGTCAATGTTGTTGGTGCTGCTGACACGACTACAGGTGGGTTCCAACATCCAACATCGAGAAAGCTTCAAAGGAAAATATGATGTGTATATGTTACAGGGAATGTGTGAACCAGGGATTTCACGTAATCTCTAAAAAATCAGTGATTTCGTGAAATCACTGTGACCCCCAGGGATTTCATGTATTCCCTCAAATTTCAAATGATATCATGAAATTACTGAGTTTCATGGTGTTCCATTACACGCATTCCCCGTTAGGATATCAGTGAACGTGTTGAAATGTGTTACAACTGTAGCAGCACAACCAACCATAATAACCATACACACATTCCCCGTTAGGATATCAGTGAATGTGTTGAAATGTGTTACAACTGTAGCAGCACAGCCAACCATCATAACCATACACACATTCCCCGTTAGGATATCAGTGAATGTGTTGAAATGTGTTACAACTGTAGCAGCACAACCAACCGTCATAACCATACACACATTCCCCGTTAGGATATCAGTGAATGAGTTGATATGTGTTACAACTGTAGCAGCACAACCAACCGTCATAACCATACACACATTCCCCGTTAGGATATCAGTGAATGTGTTGAAATGTGTTACAACTGTAGCAGCACAGCCAACCATCATAACCATACACACATTCCCCGTTAGGATATCAGTGAATGTGTTGAAATGTGTTACAACTGTAGCAGCACAACCAACCATCATAACCATACACACATTCCCCGTTAGGATATCAGTGAATGTGTTGAAATGTGTTACAACTGTAGCAGCACAGCCAACCATCATAACCATTCACACATTCCCCGTTAGGATATCAGTGAATGTGTTGACATGTGTTACAGCTGTAGCTGCACAACCAGGAAGATGGGCCTGTTTGTTTGGGCGGCGCGTTCTCGCACCGATTGTATCTTCCATGTATCCGTCGGATATATAGTCAATATCTTGGTATTTGATAAGCTGTAATGTCAATGAAGACAGAGTTCACTGAAGGATTTTATTTCGTGTTTGATTCTGTCAAAGCAGCAACCACACATATACAGTCGCACGTGGTTACATGCTTGGAACAGTCGTTAGCCCGACGTTAAAACCGTTATTCCACCTTACTCTGTCGGCTGACACACGAGGTTCGCATCTGTACTAAATCAAGAAGTGGAACCCAAAAGACATTGGTAGATTGATTTATTTATATTTTTCCCTTCTAAAAATATGTACACATTCTATTTTTCGAGACATATGCAAACGGAATGCTCGGCGATGGTAGACCACATAATCGGTAGGCCTTAAATGTTCACCAGACAGAACACCCATTTGACAAGTTGGATCGCTGCTTACAACAACGTAGAATCTGTACTTTACTAAGAAAGTGTAATCCAAAATATAACATATGTTACATTTGACCCTTTTGTAAATGGCATTTTGTAATCACAAGGTAATCCTGGATCATAAACACTGCATAGGCACTAAAAGCCTAGCATTCCTCAAACTGTGGTCGGTGATCTCGTTTACTCAGTGTCAGGAGCTGACCGCCAGTACTTTCAGCCTATGGTGAACAGACAAATGATTAGAATCTCATGACTTTGGTCTCTGTGTTTTATTGTGCATTAGCTTCATATTGGACCCATAAATGCTTCATATATGCAGTAAATATATGTTCCTTCCCAAATTCCTAAATCTGGGTATAATTTAATTCTTTATGAGTATACACTGTTGATGTATAAACTTGGGCAAATCCGTCAGTGACCTATCGCAGCAGCCACTTTAACCAGTTACCAGTGCTTTTTGCACGAACACATAACTTTTGACATAAACCACCTTCGATGTACATGGCAACAAAACATATATTTACGATGAACGCATATAGCAACGAGTGAGTGAGTGAGTGAGTGGTTTTAGGCGATATTCAAGCAATACTCTTCACCAGAAGCACCCTTCACATAATGTAACCACCTCAGGAACTGAAGCTGGACATTCTGCGTGAAGAAGTAACACATTAACCGCTAGCAACCCATACACTTAAGAAAGATATCAAGTTGTGCACCCAAATTGAATTTGTAAAAACCTGGACAAGGTTTGGCAGCCAGTTCGATGCGGTTCCAAGTTCCCCGCAGTAAACAACTGCTTTGGGGTGAGTGAGTCAATATTTAACGTCACATCGGCAATGTTTCAGCTATATCATAACGGAACTGCTTTGGAAGAAATGGGCTGTCTGTTATACATTGACTACAGATGAGCCGAACTGGCTTCCTTTGGTCTTGCAGCAAGAGCTACTTGTCCTAATTTGATTCAGGGTGTATCGGCATATCGTAACGTTCCAATGAAGACGTCTTTTCAGGATGCATGTGACGTGGCGTGTCGTAGTGGTCAGTCTCTGATGAATAACGTGCCAATGAAGACGTCTTTTCAGGATGCATGTGACGTGGCGTGTCATAATGGTCAGTCTCTGATGAATAACGTAGCAATGAAGACGTCTTTTCAGGATGCACGTGACCTGGCGTGTCATAATCGTCAGTCTCTGATGAATAACGTAGCAATGAAGACGTCTTTTCAGGATGCATGTGACGTGGCGTGTCATAATGGTCAGTCTCTGATGAATAACGTAGCAATGAAGACGTCTTTTCAGGATGCATGTGACCTGGCGTGTCATAATGGTCAGTCTCTGATAACGAATAACGTAGCAATGAAGACGTCTTTCAGTCAGGATGCATAACGACCAATGTGTCATAATGGTGCATGTCCCTGATGAATAATGAATAACGTAGAATGAAAACGTCTTTCAGGATGCATGTGACGTGGCGTGTCATAATGGTCAGTCTCTGATGAATAACGTAGCAATGAAGACGTCTTTTCAGGATGCATGTGACGTGGCGTGTCATAATGGTCAGTCTCTGAGGAATAACGTGCCAATGAAGACGTCTTTTCAGGATGCATGTGACGTGGCGTGTCGTAATGGTCAGTCTCTGATGAATAACGTAGCAATGAAGACGTCTTTTCAGGATGCATGTGACGTGGCGTGTCATAATGGTCAGTCTCTGATGAATAACGTGCCAATGAAGACGTCTTTTCAGGATGCATGTGACGTGGCGTATCGTAATTGTCAGTCTCTGATGAATAGCGTGCCAATGAAGACGTCTTTTCAGGATGCATGTGACGTGGCGTGTCATAATGGTCAGTCTCTGTTGAATAACGTAGCAATGAAGACGTCTTTTCAGGATGCATGTGATCTGGTGTGTCATAATCGTCAGTCTCTGATGAATAACGTAGCAATGAAGACGTCTTTTCAGGATGCATGTGACCTGACGTGTCATGATGGTCAGTCTCTGATGAATAACGTGCCAATGAAGACGTCTTTTCAGGATGCATGTGACGTGGCGTGTCGTAATTGTCAGTCTCTGATGAATAGCGTGCCAATGAAGACGTCTTTTCAGGATGCATGTGACGTGGCGTGTCATAATCGTCAGTCTCTGATGAATAACGTAGCAATGAAGACGTCTTTTCAGGGTGCATGTGACGTGACGTGTCATAATGGTCAGTCTCTGTTGAATAACATGCCAATGAAGACATCTCCCCTGGATGCATGTGATTTGATACGTCAAAAACGTCAGTTTCAAATGAACGCCTTGTGGTTGAGGACTCAAATGGGATGGCGTATTCTCCACTCGAAAACAGAGGTCTGGTATGACGTTCCGAGGAACGGCGTACATTGTATATATGAGTGTACTGGCCAGCGTTTCCATCCAGATCGTTGATAATGTCATATATGACACTTTCTGACTGACCTACAGATCCTGGTCTCACAGGACAATGCAGTACATCTAAGTAAGTGTAGTGGTCTGGCGGAACAGCAGCCGCACGACTCGCCCGCCCAGGATATATGGCAATATCATATATGACACTTTCTCTCACAACTGAGGACAGTGCTTCTGAGGTACGGTACAATGCAGTTAAGTAGGTATAGTGATCTGTGTGAGCAAATCCTGCTCGGAGAACCAAGCCTTCATAGCGTGAGCAGATATCTGGCACTGTTACATCGTGTTGCACCTCTGAGGACAAACCAGACGGACATTGGTATAACTGGCGCCAAGGTCTACCATCCAAACAAGAATCAATACAAAGTGCGCTGTTGAAATCAAATGACCTGTGCGATATCAATGAAAACGCTCTGCCTGATTCTCTAAATATGTAGCGATCAGTTAAATGTCCACTTGGAACATGCCTATTTGTAGTGTCATGGCTGCTTAAAGTGATGTCCGATGACGAATGTGGCTGTTCCAAGTCCGTGTTGGTGGCTTCTTCCTTTACGGTGTGGTCGCCGTGTGTATGTCCAGCAGCTGCAGTGACGACTTCCTCGGGTATATCTGCTCCGAATGATGACGGTCTTTCAGGCGGCACATTACCATAGGGATGTGATGCAGAGGACGCCCTGGCTAAACGTGCTCGGGAACTCTTTCGGCTGAAAATATACAGAACAATAATTCATGGTCACACAGTGTATTCTTGATAATGAGATTATTTCAACCATTAAAGTAAATTGATAGAGCATACAACATGTCCTATGCACGCAACAATTTGTACTGGATGTCAGGAAGACTGTGTTTACAGCTGACTACTTAATCTGTACAGCGGCTAGTGAGTAAAAGTACCGACAGTGATGATGACATGACAATAGATTCCTCACCGTTTAATGACAGCACAAATAACAGCGGCTGCTGTTACAACTGCTACAACGATGCCCACAATGACCGGGATACCAACTGGAATTCAATAAATGCATAAAGTCAAATTAAATCTCTGATGGGATACATTCGGTAATATCACATTTGGTATGCTTGACACGCCGAAGACCCAGGTTCCATAGCCCATATATGTACAATGTGCCCGATGCCCCTGCCGTGATACTGCTGGGATATCGCTAAAACTAAACTCACTCAATCAGTATAATGTTCTAATTAATCATATACAAAGCTTGTGTGTTACGGAATTCCTACCGGTTTCACCAAGGAATATGGAAACTATGCTTATGGTAAATCTTTGTTTACCTCATTGATCTTTGAAAAACACATTGCCATTTAGAAAGTGGTCAAATGCAACATATGTAACATTTGAGATTACACTTTCTTTGTAAAGTACAGATTCTAGTACTTTTGTTGGATTGATCTTGATCTCCACTGATCTTGAAAATCTCACACGGAAAAAAAGTTGAAAACCAGAGGTTATTTAGCCTACTCAAAGACACTCGGTGATAAGCTATATATGTAAAACCTACCCCCTGATTGGCAAATGATGCATTTTCTTTTTTTAAATTAAGAAAAACATGTTTAGTTCACCTTGTTGAAGGGGTGTTGAGGGTGACTCATCGGTTGGAAGACGTATTGTGGTGGTCGCTTGAATACAATGGATTTGTGATGAAGAATGGTTAGAGTGCCTGTCATTTGGTTTCATGTATTATCTTTAAAGGGTCATATAATACCATATACAAACACACGTGGTGGCAAGTTTGTCGTAGAGGGTTGATTAAGCTTTGAGTCTAACGTGGAAGAAATCACTCTGAAAAAAACTGCGTAATAGTGCAGCTTTCTGTTTTGGACACGATGTGCTTCCAGACAATATAAGCCAGCTGATACCATACATTATAGCTGCAATTATTTACACTTATCAGGGGGTACACAGAGTCCGCAGTCTAGACTACCAGTTGTCCGACCTTCCTTTTTTGTGGAAGCCGCGGTGGCTGAGCGGGTTAGGCGGCTGACTTTGTGTGCTGGCGATTAGGTGCCTGACTCTGAGGGTGTGGATTCGAATCCCGAATGGGACTCAACCCAAGAAAATGACTAGAATCTGTACTTTACTAAGAGTGTGTAATCCTAAATATAACATATGTTACATTTGACCACTTTCTAAATGGCATCGTGTATTCAACAACGATATCTATTGAGAAAAGGTGATGTCAGTACCGTCGTTTTCCCAATCTGTGACCGTTGTTGTACCATTGGACATGGTGACGGTCCCTGGCTCAGCTGACGTTGTTCACGCACGTAGGAGGTAGGAGTACTTCTAATTAGTACCTGACATGGAATCAAAAGTGTAAATGATTATATGTGAAAATATTAGATATATTGAACGAATACGCGCGTTCAATATATGTTATGTACGATTGTTTATAAAACGTATATATATTTTCATTTTGAAAGATTGCTTATGAATATTGTGCCGAAGCACGTACCGATAATTTAATTGATATTCTAACTAGTCAACCATATTTTGTAGCCAAAGTATCGTTGGGCCCCTTTGATATTAAAATCCCATGAAGTGTTGTTCGTGGTGCTCGAGATAAGTAACTCATTACATATTGATCTTTCGTTCCTGTTTGTTCTGAACGTAGGTATAGAGACGACAATATGTCAGTGTATGAAATACGTCAAAACCACAGCTAGACATCAGGGCTGGCAACTTCAAAATGCTACCAGCCCAAAATGGACTTAACCAGACCAGACAATCCAAAGAATGTTTCTTAGTTACAATGAATAATTTAATTAACCTGAGACATGTATTTACTGTCTAACAGTCTATTCACAATAGTCATCTATGGAATAGACTTTAAGATATGGTGAATTTACTCGGGTAGATGGAATATGTTTTATCAGACCATCGGGCTGGCTAGCTGTAAATTTAGACCGTCCGTCAGAAATCTAGCCGGGCGGGCCGTCTCGGGCAGCGGACGGTCTTTATTGCATACACTGAATATGTACAGTACATGCGTTTCTTTCCACACACACAAGGAAGACATCTGCATGTGTCACACCGTACGTGTTAGTTGTTGGCCCTATCAGTTCTTTTCAAAATCGTTTGGGCTTTGCTCATATTTGTCTCTTTCCGAAAAAACCCGAATTATTTCCTTTCTTTCTAACATAAATATTACCATGGCTGATATACCTCCGAATGTCGGCCAGGAAGATGAGAGAGTATAATAAACAGTCACGTAAGCCTTTATAACATGACCTCATTAACCGTGTTCCTTGACCTCATTAATCGTGTACCCGTGTATTTCTAGTCCCGAAGACGGGCTTGAGGCCTTTAGCAATAATGCATTGCCATGATGACGTCATCCTGTTCTTCACTTTGTAGAACACCACGTAGAACACACCGTAGAACACCATTATATGACACCACTATTCACCCTGGAGGAAACTGCGTGCGACGTCATGGGCACCATGTGGAACATAGAGTATTACAACCTGTAGGACATACTGAGGAACATAGAGTAGGACACCTTGCACAACACACTATGGGATATATAGTAGGACACCTTCTAGGGCAAACTATAGAATATATAGTAGGGCACCTGATAGGACACACTATAAAATATATAGGACATCATGTAGGACGCACTATAGAATATATAGTAAGACACTTTGTAGGACACGCAGATAAATATATAAGCCACCTTGTAGGGCACACTGACAAATATATAGTAAGACAAACTATAGAATATATAGTAGGGCACCTTCTAGGACACACTATAGAATATATAGGACATCATGTAGGACACACTATAGACTATAAAGTAGACACATTGTAAGACACACAATATAATATATAGTAGGACACTTTGTAGGACACTGTATAGAATATAGTGGAGGACACTTTGTAGGACACAGTGAGAAATATATAGTAGGACACTTTGTAGGGCACATTATAAAGTATAATAGTAGGACACCATGTAGGACACACGATAGACTATATAGTAGGACACCTTGTAAGAAACACTATAGAATATATAGTAGGACACCTTGTAGGACACAGTATATAATACATAGTGGGACACCATGTAGGGCACACTATACAATGTATAGTAGGACACCCAGTAGGACAAGTTCAGAAATATATAGTGAGACACCCTAAAGGATGCACTTTAGAATACATAGAAGGACACCTTATAACATATCGTAGGACACCTTGTTGGACACACTATAAACTTTATAGTAGGACACCTTGTAGGACATTCCATGGAACATATTGTAAAACAACCTGTATGACAAAACAGTATGATACACTGTTTAATATGCAGTATTACACCCTGCCGGACACCCTGTGGAACCTAGAGTAGGACACCCTTTCGACACTATGTAAAACATAGTTCCGTTTGAAACATAGAGAGTGGGACACCCTGTTGGTACCTGTAGAGGACATAGAGTAGGACACTCTGTTGACACCCTGTGGAACATAGAGTCGGACACCCAGTGGAATATAGGTGGGTGGAACATAGAGTCGGGGAACATAGAGTGGGACACCCAGTGGAACATACAGTAAGGCACCCAGTGGAACATAGAGTGGGTCACGCAGTGAAACATACATGCAGAGTGGGACGCGCAGTGGAACACTGAGTGGGACACGCAGTGGAACATAGAGTGGGACACCCAGTGGAACATAGAGCGGGACACGTGGTGGAGCATAGAGTATGACCCTCAGTGGAACATAGAGTAGGGCACCCAATGGAACATAGAGAGGGACACCCAGTGGAAAATAGAGTGGGACACCCAGTGGAACATATAGTGGGACCCGCAGTGGAACGTAGAGTGGGAGACTCAGTGGAACATCGAGTAGGACACCCAGTGGAACATAGAGTGGGACACGCAGTGGAAAATAGAGTAGGACCCCCAGTGGAACGTAGAGTGGGACACCCAGTGGAACGAGATTATTTCAACCATTAAAGTAAATTGATAGAGCATACAACATGTCCTATGCACGCAACAATTTGTACTGGATGTCAGGAAGACTGTGTTTACAGCTGACTACTTAATCTGTACAGCGGCTAGTGAGTAAAAGTACCGACAGTGATGATGACATGACAATAGATTCCTCACCGTTTAATGACAGCACAAATAACAGCGGCTGCTGTTACAACTGCTACAACGATGCCCACAATGACCGGGATACCAACTGGAATTCAATAAATGCATAAAGTCAAATTAAATCTCTGATGGGATACATTCGGTAATATCACATTTGGGTATGCTTGACACGCCGAAGACCCAGGTTCCATAGCCCATATATGTACAATGTGCCCGATGCCCCTGCCGTGATACTGCTGGGATATCGCTAAAACTAAACTCACTCAATCAGTTATAATGTTCTAATTAATCATATACAAAGCTTGTGTGTTACGGAATTCTACCGGTTTCACCAAGGAATATGGAACTATGCTTATGGTAAATCTTTTGTTTACCTCATTGATCTTTGAAAAACACATTGCCATTTAGAAAGTGGTCAAATGCAACATATGTAACATTTGAGATTACACTTTCTTTGTAAAAGTACAGATTCTAGTACTTTGTTGGATTGATCTTGATCTCCACTGATCTTGAAAATCTCACACGGAAAAAGTTGAAAACCAGAGGTTATTTAGCCTACTCAAAGACACTCGGTGATAAGCTATATATGTAAAACCTACCCCTGATTGGCAAATGATGCATTTTTCTTTTTTTAAATTAAGAAAAACATGTTTAGTTCACCTTGTTGAAGGGTGTTGAGGGTGACTCATCGGTTGGAAGACGTATTGTGGTGGTCGCTTGAATACAATGGATTTGTGATGAAGAATGGTTAGAGTGCCTGTCATTTGGTTTCATGTATTATCTTTAAAGGGTCATATAATACCATATACAAACACACGTGGTGGCAAGTTTGTCGTAGAGGGTTGATTAAGCTTTGAGTCTAACGTGGAAGAAATCACTCTGAAAAAACTGCGTAATAGTGCAGTTTTCTGTTTTGGACACGATGTGCTTCCAGACAATATAAGCCAGCTGATACCATACATTATAGCTGCAATTATTTACACTTATCAGGGGGTACACAAAGTCCGCAGTCTAGACTACCAGTTGTCCGACCTTCCTTTTTTGTGGAAGCCGCGGTGGCTGAGCGGGTTAGGCGGCTGACTTTGTGTGCTGGCGATTAGGTGCCTGACTCTGAGGGTGTGGATTCGAATCCCGAATGGGACTCAACCCAAGAAAATGACTAGAATCTGTACTTTACTAAGAGTGTGTAATCCCAAATATAACATATGTTACATTTGACCACTTTCTAAATGGCATCGTGTATTCAACAATGATATCTATTGAGAAAAGGTGATGTCAGTACCGTCGTTTTCCCAATCTGTGACCGTTGTTGTACCATTGGACATGGTGACGGTCCCTGGCTCAGCTGACGTTGTTCACGCACGTAGGAGGTAGGAGTACTTCTAATTAGTACCTGACATGGAATCAAAAGTGTAAATGATTATATGTGAAAATATTAGATATATTGAACGAATACGCGCGTTCAATATATGTTATGTACGATTGTTTATAAAACGTATATATATTTTCATTTTGAAAGGTTGCTTATGAATATTGTGCCGAAGCACGTACCGATATTTTAATTGATATTCTAACTAGTCAACCATATTTTGTAGCCAAAGTATCGTTGGGCCCCTTTGATATTAAAATCCCATGAAGTGTTGTTCGTGGTGCTCGAGATAAGTAACTCATTACATATTGATCTTTCGTTCCTGTTTATTCTGAACGTAGGTATAGAGACGACAATATGTCAGTGTATGAAATACGTCAAAACCACAGCTAGACATCAGGGCTGGCAACTTCAAAATGCTACCAGCCCAAAATGGACTTAACCAGACCAGACAATCCAAAGAATGTTTCTTAGTTACAATGAATAATTTAATTAACCTGAGACATGTATTTACTGTCTAACAGTCTATTCACAATAGTCATCTATGGAATAGACTTTAAGATATGGTGAATTTACTCGGGTAGATGGAATATGTTTTATCAGACCATCGGGCTGGCTAGCTGTAAATTTAGACCGTCCGTCAGAAATCTAGCCGGGCGGGCCGTCTCGGGCGGGCGGACGGTCTTTATTGCATACACTGAATATGTACAGTACATGCGTTTCTTTCCACACACAAGGAAGACATCTGCATGTGTCACACCGTACGTGTTAGTTGTTGGCCCTATCAGTTCTTTTCAAAATCGTTTGGGCTTTTGCTCATATTTGTCTCTTTCCGAAAAAACCCGAATTATTTCCTTTCTTTCTAACATAAATATTACCATGGCTGATATACCTCCGAATGTCGGCCAGGAAGATGAGAGAGTATAATAAACAGTCACGTAAGCCTTTATAACATGACCTCATTAACCGTGTTCCTTGACCTCATTAATCGTGTACCCGTGTATTTCTAGTCCCGAAGACGGGCTTGAGGCCTTTAGCAATAATGCATTGCCATGATGACGTCATCCTGTTCTTCACTTTGTAGAACACCACGTAGAACACACCGTAGAACACCATTATATGACACCACGTATTCACCCTGGAGGAAACTGCGTGCGACGTCATGGGCACCATGGAACATAGAGTATTACAACCTGTAGGACATACTGAGGAACATAGAGTAGGACACCTTGCACAACACACTATAGGATATATAGTAGGACACCTTCTAGGACAAACTATAGAATATATAGTAGGGCACCTTCTAGGACACACTATAAAATATATAGGACATCATGTAGGACGCACTATAGAATATATAGTAAGACACTTTGTAGGACACGCAGATAAATATATAAGCCACCTTGTAGGGCACACTGACAAATATATAGTAAGACAAACTATAGAATATATAGTAGGACACCTTCTAGGACACACTATAGAATATATAGGACATCATGTAGGACACACTATAGACTATAAAGTAGACACATTGTAAGACACACAATATAATATATAGTAGGACACTTTGTAGGACACTGTATAGAATATAGAGCATAGGACACCTTGTAGGACACAGTGAGAAATATATAGTAGGACACCTTGTAGGGCACATTATAAAGTATAATAGTAGGACACCATGTAGGACACACGATAGACTATATAGTAGGACACCTTGTAAGAAACACTATAGAATATATAGTAGGACACCTTGTAGGACACAGTATATAATACATAGTGGGACACCATGTAGGGCACACTATACAATGTATAGTAGGACACCCAGTAGGACAAGTTCAGAAATATATAGTGAGACACCCTAAAGGATGCACTTTAGAATACATAGAAGGACACCTTCTTGGACACACCATATAACATATCGTAGGACACCTTGTTGGACACACTATAAACTTTATAGTAGGACACCTTGTAGGACATTCCATGGAACATATTGTAAAACAACCTGTATGACAAAACAGTATGATACACTGTTTAATATGCAGTATTACACCCTGCCGGACACCCTGTGGAACCTAGAGTAGGACACCCTTTCGACACTATGTAAAACATAGTTCCGTTTGAAACATAGAGTGGGACACCCTGTTGGTACCTGTAGAACATAGAGTAGGACACTCTGTTGACACCCTGTGGAACATAGAGTCGGACACCTTGTGGAACATAGAGTCGGGGAACATAGAGCGGCACACCCAGTGGAATATAGAGCGGCACACCCAGTGGAATATAGAGTGGGTCACGCAGTGAAACATACTTGCAGAGTGGGACGCGCAGTGGAACACTGAGTGGGACACGCAGTGGAACATAGAGTGGGACACCCAGTGGAACATACAGTAAGGCACCCAGTGGAATATAGAGCGGGACACCCAGTGGAACATAGAGTGGGTCACGCAGTGGAACATACAGTAGGTGGACGCCAGTTGGGACATAGAGTGGGACACCCAGTGGAACATAGAGCGGGACACGTGGTGGAGCATAGAGTATGACCCTCAGTGGAACATAGAGTAGGGCACCCAATGGAACATAGAGAGGGACACCCAGTGGAAAATAGAGTGGGACACCCAGTGGAACATATAGTGGGACCCGCAGTGGAACGTAGAGTGGGAGACTCAGTGGAACATCGAGTAGGACACCCAGTGGAACATAGAGTGGGACACGCAGTGGAAAATAGAGTAGGACCCCCAGTGGAACGTAGAGTGGGACACCCAGTGGAACGTAGAGTGGGACACCCAGTGGAACATATAGTGGGACACGCAGTGGAACATAGGGATCTACACCTACAGTCCACCCTGTGGAACATAAGGTGGGACACCCAGTGGAACATAGAGTAGTACATCCAGTGGAACATGGAGTAGGGCACCCAGTGGAACATAGAGTGGGACACGCAGTGGAACATAGAGTGGGACACCCAGTGGAAAATAGAGTAAGACATCCAGTGGAACATGGAGTAGGGCAGCCAGTGGAACGTAGAGTACGTGGGACACCCAGTGGAACACAGAGCAGGGCAGCCAGTGGAACATAGAGTAGGACACCCATTGAAACATATAGTAGGGCAGCCAGTGGAACATAGAGTAGGACACCCATTGAAACATATAGTAGGGCAGCCAGTGGAACATAGAGTAGGACACCCATTGAAACATATAGTAGGGCAGCCAGTGGAACATAGAGTAGGACACCCATTGAAACATATAGTAGGGCAGCCAGTGGAACATAGAGTAGGACACCCATTGAAACATATAGTAGGGCAGCCAGTGGAACATAGAGTAGGACACCCATTGGAAAC